TCTTCTTCCTACAACAAAGGAAACAAACATGAACTTAGACCTGAAAAGATTAGACAGACTAAAATAGCAGAAACGTAGCCTGTGAAGTTAAAGACCTCCGTATCATTGTCGGTAGGATAAGCAGAGTCCAGTGTGTTGTATAATACTTCATCCCCTCTGTCTTTCACCGTCTCCATTTGTTCCTTTTCACATACGAACATATCATATTAGGTATCATTCAAACAATCAGAGAGTTCAAATAGTTCCTTCCTGCAGCTGCAAGACACTTACGATTTCGGATCTTAGTTTGTCCACGCTACTCTGCACTGCTGATATATGTCTCAGCAAAGCCTGTTTCACAAGCGCAATAAGAAAACCAAAATTTAGTAAATGTTTACTTCGGTCTTTATCGACAGGTTCATATGCACGAGGGGATTTAAATGTTGCACCTTGTGCCTTTGAAGCTCGATCGACCGTGCTAGAGCCTTCCTCTTTGTCAAAAGATTCTTGGGTCTCAGCAAAGAAGGTCGTTGATAATCCTTCCCTCGATAAACGATTATCGCATACGATTTGGAGACTTTGTCAATAGAAACTAGGACACCCCCACTCTCAGCTTCCAGTTGCAAAGCTATCTTTTTGACATGGTCAAAGGAATTAGCTTTTATCATGATCTTCACCAATTCACGATACTTCCAATGCAAGTGCATGTTCTCCACCGTACCATCGAAAACTTCACGACGACCTGAAATAATACCATTCGAGTGAGTGTTCGCAGATTCTGAATAAATTGAATGTGGTTGAGGGAGTTGTTTTACCTAGAAGCAAGAAAGCTTTCATTCGTAGACCAAGCTTACGAAACATAAACCTTTCCTCCTCAGTTATGCTATCAGGTTCTGCCTGCCGCTGAGCTGGTGTCATAAACGCTTCTACCTTAGATAACGCTCGTTCAGCTTTCACCAACTTTCTTTCAGCCTAGAGAAACAGGTATGTTCATATATCAAGACAAGAATTCTAGATGAAGTAAAGGCAATTAACCCAAATTTTAAGAAACTCACAATAGCAAGCTTCCGTTCCAGCTTCCTAACAAGGTCGGTGTGTCTCAATCGTTCGGCGTCCCGCATTACTTTTTCCTTGTGCTGGTCGTCCAGCTGCTTTCCCCATTTAGCATCAGCATCTAGTGTTTCCTCTAGAGAACCAGCAGTGCCAGATTGCTCTGTTTTCTCAATGCCAGGAACCACCAGGGCTGATGCTTTCAACCTTGCCTGTTCTTCTTCATCTTGTAGAGACTTCGCCAACCTCTCCCTTTCTAACAAAGCTTCAGTGACCTCAGGTGACAAGAAATTCTTTCCCCTATAGAATACCAGAAAGTCTTTGTTTCTTGACAGAAGCATGCCTCCTGTCAATTTCTACATCAACCACTTGAACGCTCAATTTATCTGCTCAATTTAATGTAGTGTGGTTCATCCATAAAAATAAACGTTACCTTGATCTCTTCAGCCATTCTCTCACTAGTAGTTAGCTGCACACCTCGTTTCAGTGCAATTTTCGCAATTGAACTTCGTTCCCACAATTTAGCCATTGCGATGGCCAAACCTTGAAGCTGCCTGTTTCGGCCTGTATACACGAAAAACATCATTACCCGCAGCAGACGTCGCTAAGTAGCATAAACAATCAAAAACATACCTAGTGCAAAATGAGGAGGAAGTCTTCTGGCAAGTCTTCTCAAGGCTGTAGCCTCCTTCACTCCAAGAGAAGATCTCACTCCATAGGGAAGAATTCTAAATGGAGGTTTGTAATCAGAAACTACTCCCGGGAGCATATCTGCATCGACCGGTAAAGGATCCAATCCTGGCCAGTCTGTGTATCTTGGACCCAAACCATCCAGTAATTTGTCTATTTCATCCTCATAATTCACCTGTACTTCTGTCAATTGTTCGCTGCCCTGTTCACCCTCTGTCGAAGTTTCTGCTCCTTTTTCTCGTGGCTCGTGTACATTACTGTGAGAAGAAGATTCGGAAGGAACTATTGTACTGACATCCGTTTCAGGAAAAGGAGTGATCTCATTTCTCTTGTAAATCCATTTGTTAAATTGTGGTGCTTCAGGAAGCTCATAGCTTACACCTCTATATAGAGACAATGAAGTTCCCGACCTCCAAATAACCAGTCCACCAGTTTTTCTCTGTTAAAAGAACAAATCGGACAAGATAAATGATCACATCTTAGCAACCGAACAATAATATCTAATAAGAAGTTTGTGAACATAATCAATCAAAATGTGCACACAAATAAGCTAGCAGGTAAATTTAGATCGTTCCGAATGAGCTTAGATCAAGCTTGCGCCAAAACGTTCCAAAAACTTATCCGAACATCTAATCATGAACATAACGTTCAAAATAGGCCTGTTTGGTCTGTTTATCCAGAGTAGATGGAAGCATGTCAGAAAAGGAAAATCATATATAGTTTCATATTTTCTTTGTTGGCTGTGCCTCACAAAGACATGGCTCTCAAACAGTTGTTTCAGCAACAACAATTGCACAGAAAGCATAATAAAAACACACAGATTGGATTAATAAGCTCATATCCAGGCTATACTAGGAAGGGAACTTTGGAAGCAAGGCGGCCCTTCCTTATGGCATGTTGATCCTCTATCTGCCATGCTAGTTTCCCATTGGTTTATACATCAATATCTCATAGAACTAATTCATTTACTAAGATAATATTATGAGTTTGGAAATCAAATAGCAAGTATTTTACAAATGCCAGTAATTTCATGAACAAACAACTAAACGAACTGCATAGAAAACATACCTCCAATATCTCGTGCATCCTTTTCATGTTAAGCGCAGGAGGACCTTCAATTTTAAGCCTCACAATCTCAGAAGATTTCCATTTTTCATGAATGATATCCACAACAGCTTGAGTCACTCCTCCACCGCCTATCTTCATCTTGTGCTTTTTCATGAATGTCAAGTTCCTCAGCCTTCTCAATTCTGACTCAGGAAGAGTCAATTCCGCCAGAGATGCCATGCTCCTTCTCCTTGTTGAAACCCCATCTGCATATTCCCTTTCTTTTGGCTTCTCCCATGGAAATCTAACCTCTCCATTACTTCCAAACATGCCCTCAACTCCCAATAGAGACTCCTTAGAAAACCCACCTCGAGTATTAGGCAACATTCCTTCCTCAACATAGAATATGTCCTCCACGGACCCCTTTTCAATGGCGGCTCTCTCTTGCCCCTTCTCTTTATTCTCATCGTCCATGTACCCAAATTTCTTCAATTTTCTCACAATCTTCTCCATTGTACTTCCCCCTCTTCCATCATCATCAATCCTACTACTACCACCTCTATAACTCTCCGAAAAATCTGAACGTGAAATCGAAACTTCATTGTCATCGCTACTGGGATAGTCCAACACGGCGCGAGGTGGTTTTGGACGATTTTGTTTCGCGGTTTCGTTCCACCTATCTATCCAATTAGCACGACAGAAATTCCTCCTCAAATCATATCTGGAAATGGGTGTTTGCGTGCTTAAACTCCCATACGGAATTCGATTGGAACATTTATCCGTCGTAAACGCATAAAACGGAGAGCAGAAAGAGCGCTTTGTGAAGACAATCGACGAACCGTACTTCAGGAAAACGCGAGAGCCATGGAATTCAGGGAAGGAAGTTTGAAATGTATCCAAGAAGTTCGTGGCTTGGCATAAACGACTGTGTATTAGAGCCATCGCGGATTACAGAAGCATAATTGCTTGCCAGACCACGAACCAAGCAGAGAGAAATGTAAAATCAGATAGCAGAGAGAAATGTAAAATCAGATAATGGATGCTGCGAACTTGCTGTGGTTCAATGGGATTTTGGGTCGAAAACCAACCGTGTGTCCAAAATTACCCGTGGCGATGACGTTTTTTTTCTCTCGCAAAAGCCCAAGAAATCTTCCGGTTCGCCGCCGCCGTCGAAAGTGTAATCTAAATTGAGGGCCAAAATAGGGTAAAGAACATGAAATATGTGTAATCTAAATTGAGTGTCAAATTTTGTGTAACAAAAATTTCTCTATCTAAATAACATGAAAAATCATGCAACAATCGAAACCTATGATCTTAGTGTACAGTTAAACTCTTATCTTCTAGGCACTTCTAACCGTTAAAAGTAAGAGATTCGAGCGTTTAATCTGGAACTCTTTTAGTTTGAATTGGCACACAAGAGATGGCATAGCACGAGATTAGATACAATTAACTTTTCTCCATACTTTTATGCAATAATTTTTAATTTTTCGGTCAAAGTTTCATTCTAATTCACACGTTTTTTTTATTTTGTTTAATAAATAGACAGAACATATTCACTTATTGTTTTTAGAAAAACTTGAGCTTCAGTATTAAAATCTAATTTATTATAAAAAAAAATTAGCCCTTATCCTTTAAAGGACTCATATACTTTTTATTTATTTATAGAAATAGTAAGTTTGTCTATTTAAAGTTTTATTTATGATATTTGAAAAAAATGTCCGAAAATAGAATACTTAAAAATTAAATAATTGTATTTAGTATGATATGATAATGTTATCCGAATTCCCTATTAATAGTGTTTTTTTCAATAATTTCATTAAGTTATTTAGATAATTAATTTTTAATTACTCTCAAATAAACGAATTTAATAAAATTATATAAATTTTAATTATAAATATTTAATAGAAAAGCAAACTATATTAAATGAGATTAATATATTATAAAATTATATAAACTATATTTTATTTAATTTTCATTCCTTAATACGTGTATTAAATAATAGATCTTAAATTTGATATTTTCAAGTTTTAAATCGTTAATGTTAATAATTATTTAAAAAAAATAACTTTAACATAATCCTAAATAATATGCCTTAAATTTATATTTTAAAATTTCTTTAACTATCTTAAAAAGAACTAATAAAATAAAGTAATCTAATTAAAAAGAAAAAAAAGTAGTAGGATTTATATTTTATAGTACACGTCATTGATCATATCTGAGAAGGGACGAAAAGTAAGTAACGGAGCAGCTTCCATTTCCAAGATCCATATTTTTGTTCCTATAAAATATGGCAAAACCATCAGCCCTCACTTATCCACTGCAATGCTTTTCACCAATCACAACATGGCCACAGTTCGTAATGCGCGCCCAATTTCTTCCTAATTCTTGCCGCCGCCCCTCCTCCTCCTTCTCCGCCTCCGCTGCTCTTGATTTTTCGTAACAGGTAACTAATTCCTCCTTACCTCCGCACTTCTCTTATACGTGTTGCAGTAGATAGTTCGCATCGTATTTGATTTTCAAGAGTGTCTGAAATTTGTACTCGGGATCTGTACTCGGTTCTGGTCTCCCGTAATTGTAGGATTATTGAATTTCTATGCGTTTTGTTCATCTGGCGTTTGAGGTAGTCCCTGTGTTTTTTCCTTTGCTGTTTGATTCTTGATTCTTGATTCGATCCTATGTTTGGATGTTGAGACCACTGGAATTAGTTGGGGATTGTGACCGAGTGGCGATTGTTGATACTTCCTATTTGTGCTGCTCAGACGCATTAAACTCTTTTTGTGGTCAGTTCGTGAACAGAGAGTCGGATTTCGGTTAGTTGCGATGAAATGTTTTCACTGGATTGGCTTAATCTTGAAATGCGTAAATCGCCGAGCATAATCGGGTGGATCCTTTGATCATTTGTCACTGTTCCTTCGGGAGTTTACAGAATGACCAACCACTCGGCTATCTTTGTTAGTATTTTCATTTTCTTAAAAGTTGTTAGTACTTAATGGATGTACGATCTTCTAATTATGACATGGCGAGCTCATGTTCCTAATATCGGTTTGGAATCCTTCTAGGTGCTCCTAAAATACTCCACCAGTTTTGCAACTAGATTTCATGTTTAATATTAACGACTCATCTGAAGGGGGTTCTCAAACAATTTGGGAATTCTTTTATTTTCCAGTTCAAGGACATTGTTGACCTTTTAATTTTATGTTCTTTTCGTAGCACTAATGTTAGAGGCCAATGTGAAGCAAATGTTTCCTTCTTTGATTTATTTCATCTTTATCCTCCAAGTGATGGTTGGAGGTATGACTCAAAATCTCAGTCTGAAACACCTTCTCCAAGTGGATGGGTTTACACGGTTTAATGGTTGCGTATTTATCAGATAGTCTAAGAAAGCAATTTTGGTGGCTCAAGTGTTCTTAAGATTTGTCTGATTAGTTTCCCGATGCCAACAAATTTCCAATCTCTTATAAGATGTAGATTGGGAAATGTTCTAAACACCTCTGTTGTTTTTCTTGAACTTTATCAGATCTGGGAAATGTTTTGTGAAGTGGAACTAGTGAGAGATGTGGAAGTCACGGTGGAAAAGGAAAAGAGAGATGGTGTCAACTTGCAGAGGTACATTATAACATGTCTATTAGAAAACCTCTTGAAGGAGAAGGCCAGCAAAGACCATGGCTATTTTCTTGCTGTTACTAGCTTGAAGAGCATAGGGAAGGGAGAGGTCAAGAATGAGTCTGAGTCACAATGTGTTTCATTCCCCATTACCTTTAGTTGCCGAACCTTTTTGCCTTTGGAGGGAGAGATCTTGCATGGAGTTGTTCGTCACATATTTCGGCGTGGATTACTCTTAAAATGTGGACCGATCAAGTACGTGTTTCTTTCAGCTCGTAAAATGCCAACCTACCATTATGTTGGAGGTGAAAATCCTGTCTTCTCGAGCACCCAATCTGCAACGATTGGAAATGATGTCGTTGTACGGTTCAGTGTGCTTGGTGTGAGATGGTTAGAGAAAAGAGGATGCATCAAAAAGGAGTTTGTGATGCTTGCTAGCTTAGAAGGTAACACCTCACTTGGACCCATTTCATCGTCCGACTCCGACGAGTTTGACTTGTAAATTTAGAACACAAACCCACAAAGTTGGGAATGTTTCAATGTAATATATTCTTACACGCCTTGCTCATTTCTTCCCCTCTTTCTTTGTCTTCCTGTTTGTTGTTCTTCATGGCAATGATAATTCAAGATTCTTGTGGAATATCCAAATAAAGCAACAGAAATCTTCTTTTATTTTTCTGAATGTCCTAATTAGTTTCTCTTTTTTTAAGAATACAAAATTAGAAATATCAAGATTAAATTTTCGAACAGATTGGTTAGCTGTTGAACCTTTTCCAGACTACCCGTCAACTGCCCTTTCTTTCATTATACATTTTTTCTTATTTTTTAAAATTTAATTTGACACTATTTTTTCCATTGCTTTCGCTCAACCTCATATTGTTCTTATTCGAGAATCAAAGGGAAGAAGGCGGGAGTCGTGGGACTAAAGATTTAAGCTTCGGATCTTCCGCTTCTTTGCGTTTCTCTTTTTCTTGACTAAATTACCATTCATTGGAGCTCCGGCAAAAAGATTCCAGGGTTCTATGCCAATGTCTGCCGCTGAATTCGCCGTCACTTTCAAGGAAGCTGGTCGATCCGTCATCGCCACTCGCTCCCCATGGCGGGAATTCTTAGACCCATCTGCTCTTAGCCTTCCTTCTTCCCTCTCCAACGCTACGACTCGAATGTCTCAGAACTTGACCCGTTTCCTTTCCAATTACTGTCTTCTCCTCTTGCTCCTCGTCTTACTTGGCCTCATCTACCATCCATTTTCAATGATTGTCTTGTTCCTCGTCTTTGCTGCCTGGTTCTTCCTTTACTTCTCTCGCAACGACCCACTTAGGGTCTTTGGTTTTGACTTGGACGATTTGGTTTTGGTCATCATTCTTGGATTGACTACTGGATTGGCGCTGGCGGGCGTTTTTGTGAATGTGCTGATTTCGCTTGCAATTGGGGCGGTGGTGGTCTGCTTGCATGCGGCTTTGAGGGCTACGGAGGATATTCTTGGAGATTTGCAGGATCCTTTTGGGGATGCCCTGTTGGATAGTCCAAGAGGTGATTATAGCGGCTTCTGATTGAATGTGTGGGTTTGTCTCACTATTTAACCATTTGAAGTTCTGTTTTTTTTTTTTCCCCCAATTGGTTTACATATAGAAGTTTGACAGTTTGCTGGTCTGTATACTGGTCTTGTTGGATGAAATGTACATTGCAAAACTCAATGAATTGCAGAAAAGTATTCATGTTTATTAAGCTCAAAATCTTGCGCATTATTGTTCTTTTTACTTAGTTGGAGTGTCTTGTTGAGAGTTTGATCTAATGGAGCCTTCAATACGCTCTTAATTAACACGTTATGTGATTGAATTGAAATTAGTCGCTTGGGATGTTACCATTGTTGTATGATTCCCTCTGTTGTAGAAGCTAAATTAGCTACTGAATGGAATTGTTGAGCCAACAAATCCTTGCTCTTCGATTGGCCTTTGGTCACATGAAATTCTTCCCTTAGTTTCCTTTTTCTACGAATGAGCATGCTTATCATTTAAGAAATATTGAGTTGGAAGGATATCATGAGACCCAAATGTGAGTTTTACTCGTATTGTATGTTCGAGTCTGTTTCGATTGGTTGACCTTGTTGTCTCATTTTAATGAAGAAGAAAGAAGTTGACCCTCTAAATTATGGCCTGTAGTTTAAGAGGGAAATTTATGAGACGATGCATAAAACATGTCTCTATTTGATCTCTTGTTGAACATCATTCTCTAGGTGAGCACAAATATTTGGGAATTGTCCAGAGTGACAACTCTTTCGACCATAAGATAGAACCATCACAAAATCTTTGGCTGAGCTGCCCACAGATATCTGTATTAGTTCTATTTTTGTGGTTGTCTGTCGCCACAGTTCTACGAGGTCGTGCAGATGCAATGTGGAGCTCACTGGATGGCCCTTAAATGAGATTTCCACCTGTAAATATTTAGGAAATGTTATTACTTGACAGTTATATAGACACACTCTGCTTCTTGAATGTTTGGACCGTGCATAGAGTTCAGTTCATTTTGACATGAATGCCGACACTGCTTTCTTATCATTAAGTGATATGTGTAGAATCTTTTTTAGATCTTTCAAATAGAAGGAAGGCTAATATAACTAAGAGGGAGAAGATGGGTTGTTACCTCAATCTCACTAGCAAGTCCCAGTTTCTTCGCAAGATATTTCTGGATAAATGACACGGGTATACAGCCATCGCTGTGTGTTGAAGATCAAAAGGAACACCGAACTATAAACTTATTAATCTACTAGAAATATGCTAGAAAGGGGGCGGGGCAATTGCTTTGCTTATTATCAAATTGGCTCCTATTACTGTAGGAAATAGAACTAACCTGACCCTCAAGTAGTTTGAGGAGATCTGAGGCAAAGGCTGATTTCCTTCCCTGGTAGAGGCATTTACAAGTACATATCAATGTTTGGTCAGTTGCAGGAGTAGAAAAATGAACAGAACTATTATTCTTCTTGTTCTAAAGCTATTAATCTCACTGGTGATCAGAAGCAACTAGCGCAAACCATATTGGATTTGAGAACGTATTGCATCGTTTCTCTACACCAATGTCACCTACAGTCTGATCATAGGATCCAGTGCTGCTGGATAATCTTCTTTCCCATGAAACATCCTGCAAGTTTCCATGTTCAATGGAACCCGAAATTCCAAAAGATAGTCCTCTTTCAACTCTTTCCATTATTGGCTTGTGACTATGCTCTTGAACCTTGCAATAATTATCATCAATCTGGATTGGCTCTGGCTTGACAACAGTATCTTGTATATTACAATCATTTGAACTTGTTGCAGTTGCTTCTTCTTTTCGATTTAAATCATCAGTTTCCCTTTCCATTACTTGGGTATTGTTCTGCTTATTTTGAACAAAGACGAGTTTTCTTTGGGGAATCATGTTGGAAATACATTGTTGCACGACGAGGTTCTCTTGTGCTGTAGCTTTCGGGATTTTCGCTGCAGAGTGAGAAATCATATTTGTGTTGTCGATGTCTAAGGAAGAGAGTGATCTCTCTTTTCTTTTGGTCGGCAATGAAACGGCAGACTGTGTTGTTTCAGGTGCCTTCTCCTTCCTTCGTTGGCAAGGGAATGTCTTTTCCCTCAGATCATCCATTGTGTGGTCTGCCCTGCATAGTAGGTGTAAAAATTGGATCTTTACCGATTGGAAAAACACATTCCAATGATTGTATTTTAGGTCACACGGTACCTGAGTTTCTCCAAAGGCACACCCCCTAGATTTGTGTTGCACACAGGACAACCCTCTAACTCCTCCTCGGTTATCTTCTCATAGATACAATCCCTGCAAACTGAAACCCAACATTATACATAACATTAGAATATAGGAATCATAAAGAAAAAGTAGAGTAATTACATGTGTGCAGGCATTCAGATATGGTGGTAGCATCAGTGAACAAGTTGTTGCAAAGAGGGCATGTCAAGCAACCCATCAACTTCTCAGTCTCTACTTTCACCGTCGCCGTCGCCATTGGCCGGTGCTCGATGATCTCTAACCGCAAGCGTTTGGTTGGCTTTTGTTGTGTGATTGTTATAAGAAAAAAAGGGGAAATATTAGGATTAGGAGTGTTTTTCTCGTGGGTAACGAACGAGTTGGCCTTTTGTTTAGGGAATGTCTGTTTTGGTTTTTCTTTCTGGACGACGTTGTTGTATGTAACGTGCGCTCCGCCTCCCACTCTCCTCCTCCTTTCATCATTTCTCGCCGCTATTTCCTTCTTCACCATTTACACCATTCTTATTTCTTAAACCCTTTTAATAATTTATATATTTATTTATACCCAATAAATAATACTCTTTTTTATTTTATCTAATTTTATTGAGAGAGAAGGAAGAAATTTAAGGCTCTGGATCATGAAACAAGAACACGTGTAAGATTTTATTGTTTTTCCTTTTATATTGTAACTTTAGTTTTTGTTGGTAATTATGAGTGATCGGAAGACTTCCTTCTAAAGGATTGATTAATATTTAAAAATGGTTTGACATTTATGACTTCCATTCGAAGTTGGAATATTTATTTTTAGAAATAAATAAATAAAGACATTGAATCGATGCAGGACATGATTCGAATTCTTTGGCATAAGACAAGGGAGAGATACAAAAGGAGAATAAAAAACTAGGTAACGATTATAACATAAATTATTAATCTTTATAATATAAAACGTTACATATCATATTTATTCAGATATATATTCAATAAGCTCACATTTATATTTGTTGCCTACATTTCCTTCTTTGTAAGCATGCCATAAAATATTGATCAAATTATTAAAATATTTCCTCCACTTGTGTAAATTAAATTAAATTAAAAATACTATTTTTCATCTAATAAATAATTTTATACTCATATTTAGATCCAAGATATCAAAGAGATGGAAGGAAATGGACTCATTGTTTAGCCATTTAATTTTCATATTTATATATTGGAAAATACTACCAAGCTATTTATTGCTATTTTTTAATTCCACCAAAATAATAGGTATAAACAACTAAGAATTATCATATTAATTAAGGATCGATAATTAAAACAATATTTATTTGATAATTTACCCTTTTACCCCTAGCTGCTGGGTTAGTCTTGGGCAGGTCAAAACAACTAAACTTCTATAAAACTCGTAATATATTAAACATCTTCAAAAAGCATCCACATGCTCATGTTCCCCAAAAGAAATTTAAATAAATACATAATAATAATAATAATAATCTTTAACAAACAACCAACACAAAAATTAATATATATAACAGCAAGAGAAAAGGCATAAAAACAAAGTTTTTTTGTGATAAACAAAGCAATTCAAACAAACAGCCAAACAGGGTAAGACAGTTTATTTTTTCTTTTTTCTTGTTGGCTATTACAAATTAATTAATGTCCCAAATCTCTTTTAATATCTATATACGAACCATAACATTTTAAATTTAAAAAAAAAAAAAAAAAAAAAAAAGTAGAGATATTGCAATCAAATATGATCCATCTGTGTTGCCCCCTCCTTTGTTGCTTCATCATGGATCGACCAAATCATGCCGCCACCCACCACCTCTTCAGCTTCTGCTTTTGCATTTCTCCATCGCTCTTGGGGCTGAAATTCATTTCCATCACACTTTTAAACCATTCATCATCATCATCAAATCAATTATTCTTTTTACATTAATCCAATTTCAAACTATACATACCAAGCCCAATAGCTTCTGACCCCTTCGTTATCCTTAATCGCTTGCATGAATCAACGAACATCCTATAGTAATAAAATATAATTACGACAACAAGATGGATCTAGAAAAATAATTAATATTGAAGATTGGGTTAACATAAGAACTTACTCCCATGGAACATCTCCCACGAGCATCCAATCACCATCCTTATCTTCATAGGTTGGTACATATTCAAAGCTGTTTAGAAGATCCATCAACTTACTTTCGTTGATGAAGTCTATCATTCCTTGGGCCCCATAGTCACCTTTATTTTTATTAACATTATCATTAACACCAAAAAGAAAAAAGAAAAAAAAAAAAAAAAAACTGAAACTTTGGTGATTAAAATATTTAATTCAAAACATACAATGATTATCATAAGAAATAATAAAGGGTAGCTAGTAGCTAGGCTGTAATATGCCTTTGTTAATGATTCCAAATGATCCCACATATTCTCGCATCAAAGATCCTTGTGTTCCCAGATCTAACCTAATTCATTATACAATTATCTAAAAAGATGTCCTATAATATTTATTAAACCATACACTAAATTTAACCTAATCTTTTCATTCGTATTCTCGACGGGTTGTAAATTACTAACCGGCCATCGTAAAGGAGCTAAACATCTTGGCCAACGCATTCGAGAGCTCTTGGTAGCTTTTGTACATCTTCAAGTCCACCTTTCGCAGATATGGTGCGCCATCCATACAAACTTTCACAAACATAGCCGAGCCACTGTCAGGGCTCTTTTGAGCCATGACATTCTTTCGGTAGGATCGCACCGGTGGCCATCCCACGGCTTGTGCCCTAAAATATTAACCCGTATACTATCAATAATTTGTTAATTAAAAAAAAAAAAGATCGTAACATATTAACATACTTGGCAGGTGGCTTAGCAGGATCTTTGGAGGTAAGACTCTTCTCATCAGTTGAAGTATTATTATTAGTCTTCATATTCTGTGGTGTCAGATCGACGGTAGCAAGAGGCTCAGATTGGATATTGAGTTTCAGATC